GCATAATCCGGCGTGTTCGATAGATCCCGAATTCACTAAAGTACTAAACGAGTTAATAGGTTCGCCGTTCCCCCGGATTCTTCGACGGACGCGACGATCCTTCAGAATCCATTAATCGCCGAATCTTTCGCCTCTCTCCGTAAGTTTGAGCAACCCGACTTCTGAACATCTCGAGGGCTGCCGACTTGGCAGCCCGAGATGTTCGGGTAGTTACATCGCGGGATCGCTCGTGTTTCTCCTCCACCGTGATAGGAAAACCACCCCCCGGTGGTGCTTTTCTTATCATCGAACGAAAATAACGAATAATCATGCGCAAACTACTTAAACTAGAGCAAAAATTAACGACGCGAATGTACTCTTGCGCGAACAAATACAGCTGCGCGCCAGAGTTGGAAGAGTAGATTGGATAAGTAGGAGGAGGTACAGGTGGAGGAGGCTCGGCGGAGGACGGATGGTGGCTCTTCGCAGAATGGCTCGGTCGCAAGAAAAGATAAACGAAAGTCAGGAGCTGACTACACAGGACGATATCGTACTCTCCATTCCGCCTCGTCGGGACGACGAGGAGAAACGCGGACGGAAACGACGAAAGAACGGAATCCCGACTCGTGGGAACGGAAAGGTGCGGGGCGGAGGAAGGGCGGCTAGAAGGGTGGGAAACCGGGGGATTCGCGTCGCGAAAGGAAACTTTAAACTTCGCTATCTCTCCACCGCGAGGCAGGAGCACGCTACGGGACCATACGTGTGAGCTTCCGCGATATCGATCAGCCTACAGCAAATCTCCGGCGAAGGGTCTCTTCGATGGTGGCTTTGATCGAGTCTTAATGGAACACGTAAACGATGTAAACGATATTAAAAAAAAAAAGGAGAGAGAGAGAGGGGGAAAGAAAAACGGGACAAGAAAGGCCCCGATCCTACTTTGGAACGCGACATTACAAAAGAAACGATTCTTGTGTTTTATAAATAACATAAGTTATTAAGAGAATGAGTCACCGGACAACGAGTCGATCCTACGCTGCTCATCGCGGATAATTTTTATCTCGTAAATGGTATTAAAAAGAAAAAAAGAAAAGGAATAAATTGAGAGGGAAAGAAAAAAATGCAGCATAATTCTATCTCTGAACAATATCACGAAACGATGATACTGTCCGATGCACTTTCTATTCTACGAACAGTTTGGCCGTAAATTTTTTAGGAGGATTATTCAGCGTGTAACGAATCGATCATTTCCTGTTTTTCGGGCTATTTTCCACCTGAGTGGAACAGAAAGAATTACGGGTGAAAATTTTTATGAGATATGTAACACGGAGATCATTGCTCGCGCATTGCGTTAAAGCCACTCCCTTGAAACGCTAAAAATATTCTTCATTTGATTTCATACGGATTCTTAAGTCACATCGCGCTTCAACGGGGAAATTTCTACAAAAGAATCAAATCATACGCGAGAGATGACGACGTGCATTACGTGCATTAAGATTGTATCTTGCTTGATTGTATCTTGTAGAACGTGGAATTTCAAGATGCAGCAGAGAGAGCAAAGATGCTCCATCAAAAATTCTTCCGTCTTAACGAGATATAACGTTTAACGAGTCCTTTCCGAGCTTCGCCTCTTACCGCAAGTAAATCGAAGATAAACCCCTGGGTTTAACTGGGGTTTAACCTATGCTAAGCGCGCTAAACCTCCCAACCTAGACCCGACCACATGGATGGCTGGTTACATAGATTACAATGTAGTTTAATTGAGTTAGCACCCTAATGGCTGCAAACATCCACGTCTGTCTACTGTTCTCTTTTTATTTAATATCTATTGGATCCATTGGATCTTTTCTCGTCTTGTTATTGAGAAAGAGACATCCCGCGCGTTCATCCCGGGACTAATTTTTCACGGGACGCGACACTGCGAGACAAGAAAATAGAAAATGCAAAAGCAGCAACTCCACGACAGAAGGAAAGATTAGCTTTGAGATTAGTGTGAGGCCGAGTTTCCCACAATTCCACACAATATATGGATACATTCGCCGGTAGTTTATGAAGATTTAAAAACGGATAACACGGCATTCGGCAAATACGACTCTAAATCATCAAGATATCGAAAAACGGGGGGAGCCTACTATTCCAAAGTAAACGCCTTAAATCAGGCCTTAAATCTCCGTATTACATCGGAATGAAGATTATTTCTGATTGAATCCTTCGATCCGTGCGAAACCCTTAAATATGGATTTAAGACGACTCGAAGGTGAGTTTGTAGATTACGGATTGCGAACGACTGTACGTCTCGGCCGTTCGTACGTCTCAATCGCGTGAGTCGAGCGACTTCTCTCGACGATACATATCGGTTAATCGCATATAAATAAAGATTCTACCCGTCGTAGTGACATCGGTTGCTTAAAAAAAAAAAATAAAAGAAATAAAAAAAGAGGAAAGAAAAAATACGATGAACCAGCAGAAGTGGGGTTTTTTACGACGAAATGACGACGCCGCAACGCGCCATGTCGAGCTGCCGAGATTATAAAACAATTGAATAAATCTACCCCCTCGGGCGACGTCCGAGGTAGAGGAACGTCCCGGGAGAGGTAGACAGAAGTGGAAGAAGAAATCTCCGAGCCCCCCAAACTTCCCTCACGGCCCCAACCCCCCGGTAACTTCTCCGAGATTCAAATGGCCTCGTTTCAAATCGATTTCGAATTATCTTCGGCGAGCGGATTCTGGCGGAACGGGAGAAAAGGGAGGGGGGTCCTTCGTCGGTGTAATGGAGGAAACGGTAGTAAGGTAAAGAGGTATGAGGACGCGAAATGGCCGGGGTACGGGTGGATGAGGGGGAAGCAAGCGAGACAGAGAGAAAGACAGAGACAGAGAGAAAGACAGAGACAGAGAGAAAGACAGAGACAGAGAGAAAGACAGAGAGAGAGAGAAAGAGAGAGAGAGAGAGAGAGAGTGAGAGAGAGAGAGAGAGAGAGAGGAGGGGTACCGTAGAGTGAAAAACTTAAGGGACTTTTACTGGCCGAGAAAATGTTTGCCAGGCGAGACAAAGACGTTCTGGACTGTCGTTCCCTCTCCGATTAAATAGGTAGGACTGCTTTTAGGAACGACGTTCTATGGACATACGCCGTGACTTTCAGATATTCTTCTTATAATCTCGTCGCGCGCCTTCGTATCCTCTTTCCTCCCTTTCCCGTATCAAACTTTCACGGCGTATTCGTTTCCGCAAGAGGGAAATATCGAAGAGCGGCGAAGTAAGGCGTCACTTATAAACGTTATATTGGATAAAAGTTCTATGGAGAGACGAGAGCGAGAGAGAGAGAGAGAGAGAGAGAGAGAAAGGGAGAAAGAGGGGGAGGGGAAGGAACAAAATACGCAACCGCGATTAATACACAGTGGAACAGATATCTCGGGATAATGTGTTTCGTCGATACCGCATGAAAGAATTTATTTCTAAATCGCGAACTAAAAGACTCAAAAAGCACAAAACGTAAAACGTAGACATATAAAATCGTATAAAATCGTGATGAGCACCTCTTTCTCTTTTTATTCATATAGAAGTCCGCGAATATTTCTTGTATTGAGAACTGCAACACGAGACCGTGTCAAAGAAATGAACGCTTTTATATTTGGCATTTCGAGGATAATTTACGATTATTAAAGTATCGATCGCGAATATTTTTCACGAATAATTTACCGTGTTAATATTTTTATCGCATCGACGGTTATCCAGCGCGTGACCGGCGAGGGAGCGCGAAGAATCTCCTTCAATTATAATTTTTAATAATTTTTAATAATCAATGAGAAAATCGCGTTCTATACGAATGAAACTTCTCGCCGGCGAGCAGTCTGCAAATTAGCTGGTAAACGGTGGTCTGTGGAACTTTCGAAGGCCGCCTCTCGGCTGATTAAGCGGTTCGGCCTGCATTTGGCAACGGCAATGGCGCACTATGCGCATCGACTCTAGCTACTTGTTGGCTCTGACATGCGGCTGTTCCACTCTCGAATTCGCATCCCCGCTTCGCAAGTTTCAGCGGAGTGCGATATCAGTACCACGTCTGTTCCCCGCTTCTCATTTTGTTGCGTGACGCAAAACCGGGCGCGCGAAAAAACGCCGCGGCAGAACGGCAGAATGGAAGAGGAAGGGAAGGAGGAAAAACGAGAGACAAAGTGAAACATAATGGAGCTCACTCTTTTGGGGCTAATTAAAACGGCGAATTTGTTAGAGCGACGTATGCAACATACACGACTCCATTCGCCGCTAATAACGCTACTATTTGACGCGCGTGCGCGCCTCACGTACGTCTTCCAAAGCGGATAATGCAGGATACGTTACTACGTTATGCACCCTCTCACCCCTTCCCCTGACAGAGGACGTCGCGAATGCATCGGATTTTGCGTCTCAGAGAGAAACTCTTCGACGAATCGAAAATCACTGCATATTTCGAGACGCGTTAGCGTTAGACGTGATCGGAATACAGTTCGTTTCACGGTAGCTCCTGATAACCCGTTAACTCGTTCGAGTTGTAACGCTGTTATAACGCTGTTATAGCGCGAGCGTGCGTATTACAGGATACTGCTTCCCCTTGCCATCCCTCCCCCGTTGCCAGCCTCCATCGTAATCTTGTAAGATACTCTCTCCCTTTGTCTTCCGCAGATATTCGCGGCCGTAAAAGCGCAGCAGTCCACGGTCGCGGAAAAAGGAACGACACGATAACGAACGAACGCTCGTAACAGGCGGAAAGACATCGTTGCGAGACGCGCGCGCTTATCTCTAATTTATCGCGAAATTAGAAAGTAACGAGAAATGAAATCGCGCGCTCCATCTCGCAGCGGACGAGTGCGCGAGAACGGAGAAAACAGAGGAGCGAATCGCCGACAGCTATTTGATAAGTGCATACGCATTTATCAAATACGCGTTGCTAACAATGTCTCGTCTTGCGGTCTCGCCCCCACCGCCCATTTTACGTTTACCGACGCGATATCACGCGATATCATTTCAAGTTCGACATTTCTCCTTGCAGAACCAGATCCTGGCGCACAACACGTCGGCGAGGATCATCTGGTCGAATCAGAGCCTCGTCCTGCAAAGCGTGACAAGAAGCAGCGCCGGTCGTTACGTCTGCGCGGCGACGAACGCGCTCAACGAGACGCGCAGCGAGCCGCTGCATTTTCGAGTCAAATGTAAGTTCGATTTCATTGTGACACCACGCGATGAAGTAACGATGTTAAGCGTCATTTGCAAATCTTATAATGGGAAGAAATTTAAATTTAAAAAGAAAGTATAGAGGAAGGAAACAAAGAAATAAAAAATCGGAATCTCCATGGGATACGAAAAATCACATACAACTCGGAATATTTTGTCAGTTGCGAATGAAGGAGCTGTTATTCTCCGATTGCAATCTCATTGATAACTGATAAATTCGTAAAGATCTTATATAGAGATATTTGCGCAAGTAATTCATAAGATTTGTAAAACGTTCTAAACACACACAAGACCATTATAAAATATACGCAACTCTTCCCCGTTTTATTTGTATGAAATTCTGGCACGACGAAAAATATGGGAAACGATTTCAAGATCCGTAGGTCCCGTTATTCGAACTCGAGTAAAACGAATTCCAATTACCGATCCGGTACCGTCGCGGTAACGTTTCTCGGTCTTATTCGGTACACCAAGCAACGTAATGTTCGGGCCGTATTCTTCGCGTATACATAATTTATCGGGTCGCGCACGCGATCTGATGCACTTTAAGATCAAACATAAGTTTAATTTGATTTGATTATATCACACGAGAGTAGCGGAATAAAACGTCATTTGGTTTGAGCATTAGGTCGAGAGGAAGTCTCTACCGAGACGAGAGAGCCAAGAAATATAACATCGGAATTAATGTACGGAGGACAATCATCTCGGAATATCTCGTTTATTGCGAGCAAAAAGAGTTAGCTGTTACTCGTCGTTCGCGGACAGATGAATAATTAATAAATTCAGAGAGAGATATCTCGCAGCGACTCATATATTTATATAACTAATTAAACAAATTTACGAAGCATATGAAAACGTAGAATATAGAGTTACGAATAATCATAGAAATCGCATCTCCCACCGTCTTTACACTGCAAATCCGAGTGTATTATTTCGACACGCATAAGCATGTAAAAATCGGCTCAAGTTTTCTTTGCACGTTTCTTATCGTCTTAAATTACGTCATTTAATTCTTTTAAATAGACATCATTCAACACATTTAAATGTATTAAATGACGCGACTCGAGGCAGCGAGAAACGTGCAAAGGAAGCTTGTACGTGTACATGCTTATACGTGTCAAAACAACACAATCGGACATTTACAGTGACATCACACGAAATTCTGACGTGGTCTAAAAATACGAGCGGTGTTTTCGCGATCCGCCGATTTCATTATTCGTGTTTGAGCAAACGAGTCTGAAGTACCGATTGCCGCGAAAACATCCGTCAGTCACGAAACTGACGCAAAGTTCGGGCTACAAAGCAGCGATGTCGTTCAGAGACGGTTTCTTCGCGTGTAAATAATTTGCCGCGATGCGCCGTTTATATTTTGACGGAGAACACCGATTTTCATTTCCGACTGTCGGACACGTTGAAAGTACACCGATCGTATCTCACGTACGTACCTGTCCGTATTGGCATAAGCGCGTATTTTCGCGTATACATTAACCGGCACGTCGCGTGTCCCTGGGATCGCGTTACACGTGAATATTTCAAGAGCGCTTAGCCCCGGTTACATTTTTGATACCCAATTCCCAGGTTATGGTCGACTGTCGACGCGGAAGACACTCCGGTGGCTTACAAGCCCGCGGAGGAAGTGATTCGTAGAATACTTGGGACAGAACACGTGTGCGGCTTCCTGTCCCTTGGAGACTCTCGAGTGCGCGAATTACCAAAGCGGCGCTCGTCCTCGCAAACGAGAGATCTTGACGAGAAAAAAAGGCAGCGCATTTGCCCCACGCGCACTTTTCTCGTGAAACGCACGATTTATGAAGAAACTTGCGAAAAATCGACGAATTCCGTGAATTTCGGAAAAATCTTCCACGACGCGCTATGACAACTTAACCCGAGAACGAAACGCGAATTTCCGAGAGACGTTTCAAAATGCAATCATTTTGAAGATTTCGTTGGTAACCGATGTTTTAAGGTCGAGGGGATTTTAAGTATTTTTCACTTTTGCATAGAATAATTCGCATAATTCAAGAAATATCAAGCAGCATAAGTATATAGTTAAATTTCAAACATTTCAATAAACATTAAAATTTGTAAATTCCATAAAATATATCCTTTTCATCGAAATATGCAAAATGTCATAAAACTGCATATAAGATGTAAAAATGTCAAAAAAACATATACATAATATCGAATACGATAATATCAGAAAGAACATGTATAATATAGAATATCTTACAGCTATCGAACGATACTTTGATGGTTGATAGTTTTTCGGAAATTGGACGGTTGTCATATGGAAACTTGATTTCAACACTCTAATGAAAGTTGAGTGTTGTATATTTACGAATTTGAGCAACTGAAGACGATATTGGTAATTATCGATTCGTTTGATATATATTGCAACTGTCGCGACATATATCTTTCATGAGCACTTCACGACATAAACACGCGTATGTAAAATCAAAAATTGAAAAGCGCGGATTGTAAAAATTTATGAATCCAAAATTGAGGATCGCGCGTGAAAATTGCAAATTTTATCGACACGGTGCGAATAGCATAGAACCGTTTATATATACATAACTATAGCGAAATTTACATGTCTCTGTATATAAGAAAACTAAAAACTTGGCAAATTTACTAACGCGAGCGAAATAACCGCGAGTTAATAACTGCGTGTGACGCGCTTACCTCCAGCGCGTCATTACTACGCGATACATTGTGCGAAGTTTCACAGTGCCGAAAATCACTTCGGCGTCGTTCGGACAATCGTGTCAGAAATTGAACCGTCGAGCGAAGTAATGGTATATAAGTCGGTAATAATGAATTGTTTACTTTAAGGATAACAATACTTCATTAATACAACAAAAGACGCCGAGTCTTTATACTTATTTCCTCGGAATTCTTCCCTAATTGTACGACAGAATATTCTATGTAAGAGCAACTTTCGTGTGAAACAGTAACGTTACAGTAATAATAGATGTTGCAATAATTGTTCACCTTCAGTTTAATTAAACCAAATATAATAGATTACTTGATATCAAATATTTCCGTGTAAACTCTCTTTGTTTCTCAAAAATAACAAAGAGGACGCGACTCTGACTATTATACTTCGCTCAGCGTTTCGCATTCACAAATACGCGATAGCTAACATGCAAAGTAAATCGCATTGATTTTTATGGAAGTCCGAAAACAAATCTACCGTCAAAGCCTCGAAATCTTTATATCCATCACCTAAAATTGTTATGCCCATTTTTCTCTCACTCACCCAAATACCAGGAACTCAGGGCCGGCCACGTTCTGTCACGTCCAATTCTAAAACAAAAATAATATTTTCTCGATTAGATTTACGAGATTCCCTTCAATGAACAAATGGGTAGTACGAGTGGGTTAGCTCTTTGTAATCGCGATACAAATGACTATCCCTTGGGTTTCAGTCACAAAGGGCTAAGTAGAAGGAATTTGAACTGAACATACCTTCGAGCCAACCCTGCTCGGCCCGAACCGGATCCTCCGGTGCTGCATCATCTGCCATCCATCCGAAACCGCATCCTCCGCAGCTGCATCTCCCACGTGGTTGCAAGCTTCAACAGAGATCTGAAACCAAAAAATATAATTTTCCAAATGAGCTACTATGATGAGAAGAGCACACGAGTGTAAACAAGTTGGAAGGGTTCAGATCATATTTATTTTACGAATATAATAAACGCGAAAATATGTATGTATTTTATTACACTTTAAACTTTGCATCGCTCCCATCGCCTGCAATAATCGTGTGTATCGCAAATTTTTTATTTTTTTCTGTTGTACCACCTCCGATTAATTCGGCGAGAACGAAAATCACGAGCCATACCGTCCGACATGTTTACCCGTTCACGTCTAGATTCGTTACGATGCCTAATTTGTGTTAGATGAATAAATGTGTTATTATTGTCATTTTTTTTTTTTCAAGAATCGAGACGAAAGATCTTCGAAAGTCGTGTTTACGAACGCGATTTATTCTATCACTCCAGTTGTGTTACACCATGATATTTAATTGTGCACTTACTTTTCATACGTTTGCAACACAAGTCTCAAATAAAAAATCGATAACAAATATCGCAAACAAAAATACACGAGTCAAATAATAGCGCGTGATGCAAATATACTCTCTCTCTCTAAAAGTGAATCAGTAAAATTCACTGTCAACCAGCGAATATACACCGATTGTCAGTGCTAAGTATGCCACTGAAAAATTCAATATTAAAATGCACATTTAGCACTGACAATCAGTGCATAATTGCTGACTGACAGTGGGTTTCACTGATTCACTTTTAGAGAATATATTCATACATAAAATATGATGAATGAAAGAATAATCGTATTATTCCGACGAATACGACCGGATCGCAGAAAGAAGCACAAAGCAAGTAGTTACAAAGATAAATGAACAAGTAAGATTGCGGACTCACTTCTACGTTATTCCGTTCGGTCCAAGCAAGATCTTCCGGTGCTGCATCCGCCACACAAACGCGAATTCCGCCGGAACTGAAACAAAGAAATAATTTCTTAATTGGGCGCAACAGTAGAAAGATTATACACAGTGTAAACGAATTGAGCATTCCGCGATTGTATATTTCCTTGAAATTTAATGAAAACAGAAATATATACTAATAACCTTTTAAATTTCGCATCCTTCACCACACTATGCCTTCCCCGATTATTCCGACGCGATCGCGATGCGAAAATTCCACATTTTTGTTCTTTTCTATCACACGACTTCCGATCAACTCTAGATATAATTTAAAACAATCAGCGAGCGCGATGCGTCGTATTTACGTGTATTGATACGCTGAAGGTCGCGCGATGACCGCCCCGTCGTGTCTCGCGCTTGAACACGACTACAATACTACACGGTTTATCCTATTATTTATATCTCGTTAACACGAATCTGAATTTCGAATGAAAGATCGATAACGAGCATTCTGAATGTGAATCCGGGGACGAAATAATAATGACGCGAATGTGTACGCACAAGATGGCGAATCAACGAACGATCGCGTAGAATCATAAAACGTTTCAAAGCAAGGATGAGATTCAAATATGTGAACTCACGTCACTCAGGATCCCCCTCGCCTCATCCGGATCTCACCGATGCTGCATCCGTGAGCTTCGCTGGATCTGAAACAAAAAGCAATTGTCCTAATTAACTATCGGGACAGAGACGATTAATCGGTCGCGGCGAGTTGGGAATACAGAGGTTAGGTACCCCGACCGTATTTCCTCTTTAGAATCGGTAAAGATGAAAATGTTACCTTTCACTTATCTTCCATTGGATGCCGCTCACGATAATCTCAGCACTGATACAATACCCGCGAAGTATCACGATCGTGCCGATTGATCCAGAAAAGTTGGTAAAACGCGTGGCGTAATGCGACGCATTCGGCTTCGTGTCAAGCGCTGTAATGGCGCGCGACAGCGCCGTGTGAGATGCTAAGCTAAGAGTGTGTGTGTTGTTCGCGCGACCTCTCGCTCGCTCCAAGGTTAGCCAGCCTCGGACGTGCAAGTAATGTCTCCATACACACTATTTTCGCGAATTTTCGATTATTTACAGTCTACTGTATTACCCTGAAACAATATTACACACTGTACGTACGTGTGTTTTATGATATTTTATATTTTAATGCGCGTTTCTACACGGCATTTGTCACATTTTCACACACTACGGCTGTTAATTAGCAGCCGTTAATTATCAGCTAATAATTATAACGGGAGCTCTATCGAGCTAATGATAAACGATACACGTACATTTTTGGATAAACGATATACGTACATTTACGACACGCGCGAAGCGCATTGAAAATATTGTATAATTTTTTTAATCTGAAAGCGTTATTATTAACTTGAAGTTTCATATTCATGTCTCTTTTTTCCTAAATCTTTTATTTCACGAATAAGTGGAATATTTTATGACGCTTATTTCTCTCTCTCCATCTCCCAATATCACCAACATATATTATTCTTGCCCTTTCCTGCTAAATCCTTTTTATCGTTCATTGATATTATTGCTCATTAATACTATTAAACTATTGAAAACAGAATATGAACGGCAAAAGCGTAAGTTAAAATTTTATCGTTGTCATAAGTGAAAAAACTTAAAATTTATCGCGATTTTCGTACAAAATAAAATCAAATAAATAAATACTAACTGTCCAGTTTAACTTATTCTTATCGCAAGAAACTTACTTTAATTCATGAAAGCTGGCGATTGATACATGTGAAGCATTAATGCGAAACGCTCGTGGTACTTGCGAGAGAGACCGCCGTACAAGTTCCAATCTCGGAGACAAGTGTACAGCACGGCCCTCAATATTTAACTATGGATCGTGACGACCTCGTAAAGATAGAGGAAATAGTCTCGGATAAGCAAGCATCTCTCTCTCTCTCTCCTTCCCTCCCTCTCTCACTCTCTCACTCTCTCTCTCTCTCTCTCTCTCTCTCTCTCTCTCTCTCTCTCTCTCTCTCTCTCTCTCTCTCTCTCTCTCTCTCTCTCTCTCTCTCTCTCTCTCTCTCTCTCTCTCTCTCTCTGTCTCTCTCCATTCCCCAGTATCCACAAATCGAAATCGAGATCGTTTCGCGGTTTATTTTCTTGGATATTACAGCGTTGTTGGAAAAGAGGAAATAACGTTTGGTTTACGCTATCGACACCGTCGTAATATATAATGGAATTTAGAGCGGTCGGGATACCACCGCATCGAGTAAATTTAAAGGAGACGAGACAAAAGTAGCGCTGAGAATTGCCGACGTGAGGTCTAATACGATTGTCGTAGAAAACGGACAAATGTCACGAGATTCGCTACGTTGCGTCAAATTGAACCGTTTAACTGATAATCAAATGGATATGCATTTTCGAGGAAGATAGAAAAGAGAGAGAGAGAGAGAGAGAGAGAGAGAGAGAGAGAAGAAACTTAAAATCAACAAGCGATATTAATTAATGATCACAGTCAGATTGTCCCTTTTTTACTACCTCTTGACGCATAAATGTTAATTAAATTTTATACGCGGATGGAAAGCCACGCTCGACGTTCGAACATGTTACGATTAAAAATACTGCGAAGGCGAAACAAACATTATACGAAAGGTAAAGAGCAGAGCAGATAGAAAGAGAAAGAGAAAGAGAAAGAGAGAGGAAGAGAGAGAAAGAGAGAGAGAGAGAGAGAGAGAAAGGAAAACAATAAGTCCCTTTTTTACCACCTCTTGACGCATAAATTTTAATTAAATTTTATATGCGGATAAAAAGCCACACTCGACGTTCAAACATGTTACGATTAAAAATATTGCGAAGGCGAAACAACATTATGCGAAAGGTAAAGAGGAGGGCAGATAGAGAGAGAGAGAGAGAGAGAGAGAGAGAGAGAGAGAGAGAGAGAGAGAGAGAGAGAGAGAGAGAGAGAGAGAGGGGGGGGGGAAACGATAAGTCTGTTATTTTTGTACGTTGCGCGACGCATGTGTATCCCCTTGCAGTTAAATAGAATATTAAATGACAAAACGTCCGTCGCGGCGATGCTACACATTATGGCCACCATCGATAATTAATATCAATTACCGGTTTTGCGATCAGATTACAATAGGAATCGTGTGGCAATTACGAGTGTAATAAAGTTGCAAAATCCGCGTAATAAAAGTGACACGCACTGAACGCGCGATACGAGTTTAATAATGAATACTTTCAACGGCACAGTTCGTGCAGATTTCTACGTGCTTTCAGATATACGAGTGCGGATTTAATCCGTTTCATATTCTTCCGGCTGCGTTCATCGAGTAACGTAAATTGTTAGGATTTTATTGACCCCGTCTCTCGACACGCAGCGCTGAAAGTATCGCTGGCGATATTTCCTTTAAATCACTAAATCTCCGCGCGCTCGCGCGGATACTAACGAGCACGGTGGTGCCGCGTATTATTAAACGCGCCGGAATCATATCCGATGAATAATTTCGCGCGGAACTTGTACGCGAATACAGCCAGACTGTTTCACGCATTCGTCGGCTTCTAATATGAGAGCCAAACGATTATTCACCGATAAGATCGAGCGAGATATTTTATATCGCTCCGAGAATATCGGGAAATCAAACGGAAAGGAGATTCCACCGTGCGCCTCGCGCAATCGGGCAAAAGCCGGAGACAGAGAGATAGAACGAGAAGGGGCGGGAAAAGGGGAAGGGAAAGGGAAAGGGAAGGGGGAGGGGAGAGAGAGAGAGAGAGATAGGACGAGAGCGAGATAAAGCGAATTGCAGAGCAACGGACGGAATCCGTGTACTACCGTCTTTCTCGGTGCCGTTATCTGTACACGGGCGGGAGGTTTCTCGGCTGACGATATGCCAATGATGGCCCACATATCGCGGCTGCATCTGGGAAAACATACAGACACGCACGCACACACGTGCACACGTGCAAAAATGATAGCGATATCGTACGTACGACTTTCCCGACATGCCCCGGCGTTTTGTCACGATGGGGGCCGCCTCGCGTGTAACCGGCCGGAATCGTTTTATCAACGCGAGTTATGCAAAAAGGTCTACTCTGCCCCCTTCGCCTTCCCGGCGATATATATTTGTCCCAATTTATCTGCGTTTATCTCCGCCTCTCTTTGTCTCCATTCGTCTCGCGCCTCCGTGAAACTAAGGCCGCGGGAAGAGAGGAACAAATACGCGGGGATACGTGTTATCGCGCAAACCGATCGCGGACATTTCCACGGCGGGACGGGCTAACGGTGAAATTGATATTACGCAATAATAAGAAGGGAGATCGGGCTGTCGATGCGACGCGTGGCCTCTTATCCCTGTCTATCCCTCGCAGAGAACGCGTGAAACGAATGTGTCTCACGCGTTCTCCCAACTCTCTTATGATTTGGTGAACAAAGCGAGGGGAAACGTTTCTTCGTGAGGTGATTTGCAACGATCGTTCTTCCCTCTCGCTCGATCGAGCTTTCGATCGAAGAATTGCTATCTCTAATTTCTTAATTTCGATTCGCGCGACTTGGTAATTCCGAAATTTTTGTCGATTCAACTTTCACGATAATTGAAATTAATAATTTAATGTTTTGAGTGAAATGAGTGAACGTTTTTCAACATCTTGAATGAAACGTCTTGACGACTTCGATCAGGCTTTGCCTGATGTGTAAATCTCGAAGAGTCGCGACAAATCGTATTATTTAATTTCACTTTCAATTCGCGTAGTTTTTTCATAAGGTCGAATAATGATTAAACCGACTTACGAACGATAACGTTTCTAAATCTAATAATTTAGCACGGGAAGAGAGTACGAGTTCCCCCCCCCCCGATATTATCGCGACTTTGATCGTTCTACGTTCTGGTGAGGCGCGGCTGACGGCGCGGCAGAGAGTGCCATTAGAGGCACCGTCGCGTATTACGTACAAGCTCCCCGTAACGGCCGGCGGAAGAAGAGCGTCGAGTTGTCCCGTGTGGTTACACATACAAATCGATAATTCTGCTTGCAGTCGCGCCGGTGTGCAAGGACGACCGAATCGTGGTGGTCGGCGCATCGAGGGGCGAATCGCTCGACATCGCCTGTAGGGTCGAGGCCGATCCGCCGGCACACAATTTCCGCTGGAAATTCAACAACAGCGGCGAGACTCTGGAGGTAGCACCTGGTAGATTCTCCATGGAGAAGTCGAGCGGCGTCAGCGTGCTGAGATACACGCCAACCACCGAGCTGGATTACGGTACCCTCTCGTGCTGGGCGGACAATCTCGTCGGTACTCAGTCGAGACCGTGTCTCTTCCAGCTGGTAGCAGCCGGTGAGTATATGCGATAAACTACGGCGCGCGCTACGCCGCGCGATTCCCCGTGGAATTTATATCCCGCCGCGGAGGTCTCGCGATATTTTTAATTGCCCCGGGGAATTAATCAAACGCGACGAGAGCATCGATGCGAGGCTCGGGGGGCGGGCCGACAATCGACTCATGTCTGATGACGAGAGAAAATGTCACGCGCTGTAGTCGTTTCGGAGCGTGTCCGCCGAATGAAAATAAGCGCGACATTATGCACTGAGCGAGGAATAAAATAGAACAGAGAAATGACAGAATATATATGTCGGACAGAAGGACATAGATAGGACACAGAGAAGGAGAAAGAATAGAGGAGTAAAATGGAATATTTAGAAACTGTAAGACAGAGCGATAACACATAAATCATAGATCGCGGCTGCAGTTCTTCGTGCGATTGTTATTTTTAATCGCGAGCTCTTGAAGACACCCTCGCTGCGCGGAGCCGTCGGAAAGCGTCGGCGATTAAAATGTAAAAGCTCCGCTCTGTTTTTTTTTTATGAGATCCCCGGAGGCAAGAGCGCGATTCCCGCGAATCATCGCCGCGAGTACAATAGCCGGCGAGCAATCATCGAGCGTTAAATCGGCATTAATCCCTAGGCGAATTTTTTCGCGTTTCCTCGTTTTCCCTTTTCTTTTTGTCGGTCCGTGCGTGATCGACAGTGACGTTGACATGGCGATCGGCCGAGGACGTATTGACGTTGACGAATACGTCGAGTGCGAGCGGCACCGTGTGTCCGGCCTCCGCGTCTCTCCCTCATTCCCTCGTCTTCCTCCGCCCGCGAAAATAAAATCGCTCGTTTTTGCGCTTCATCCGCTCCTTTGCCTCGTATCTCGAAGCTCTCTCGCGGTACTCCGCCATTGCGAACGACCCGTAAACCCGATGGCACGAAATTATTTTTGTACCCTCCTGCGCGCGCCGCGCCGGTCCGCGCCGTCGTTATTGATGTCGGTTACCATTTCGCGAAGCATTTCGGCAAGGAATGCGCCCGGCGAAGCATGCTCGCGAGCGAGCGGTAAAAAGGACGGGATTTCCGGGACAGAATTTCACGACGGAGGAATCGAAGAGCGCGTTAGACGTCACTTGTTACGCACGTCGAATATAATTGGAATTCCGCGACGCATTGAGAAATTTACGACGCATTCGGGCGCACATACCCGGGGATGAAGTGGAGTGCCGTATCTCGTATCTTAGAAGAAGGAGATCGAGTCAAAGGAATATTGAACACACAACGTTCCGTCTAATACCTGTACAAGTGCGCAGCTATCAGAAGAAATTATCCCACGAGACGACCCAACCATCCGCGGACACCGTACTCGAGCGAATCATCTCTCGAAGCGCACGACTCTTTTTCTGTGTCCCTCCCCTGCGGCACAAATTTATGCGCAATTCAATCTTTCATCAGACGAGCGTGCACATCCTCGCATTCTTTTCTCGCTCGCGCGCGCGACTTTCCTTCGCGATTCGTAGCTCCGGCGCTGGGCTTAGGGAGGCACTCGTGTGGAGAAATTGTACGTAAGCGAGACACACCACTCCGCGCGACATCCAATTTGACAAACTTAGCAGCCTTCTTTGCTCACAAAACTAATTTGAATCCGCCCCAATCTCGACGGAGCCCTTTGCACTGCGCGAGTTACAAATGTTTGCCCGCGGAGAATGGGGTCCGGCTACGCGCAAAGGGAAGGTAAGAAGCGGAAGGACGGGGACGAGCGGAAGGAGAACAAGCGCGTAAAGTACAAACGAAGCGTCGCCGAGATTCAATATACGTCCTGCAGATCCGCGGGTCATAACGAGAAGGTTGGCGGCAACAACAACGACGACGACGACGACGACGACGACGACGACGACGGAGACGACGAAGACGAGCTTTGTGATTAACGTAGAAGAGATGAAATACGAAGAGTCTCGTGGCCGGACGCGCACAAAAAGAGCACGAGAAATCTCGAAAAGCGGACTTGGGCGGGTTGGGTGGCGCACGGCGACGAAATCAAACGAGAGACAAAACTCACCAGCAGCCAGCAGTCAGCCAGCCAGCCATTCATTCACCAAGCGAACGATCCGGCAGAACGCTGAAAACGAGCGAGATATCTGTCTTCTTCTTCGCGAACGCTGATGCTTCAGTAGAGGAACGGAAAATCGCGCAAGAATTGATTTCGAGCCCGAAAAAAAAAAAAAAGTACAGCGCGTTCACACCTGACGAAAACGAGCGGAGAAGAGCGCGGCGAGAACGAGAAGAGGGAATTTGCAGAAGGGTACGCGCGCGAGTCGGTATCACGCTCCCGTACTTGCTTCAGGCCAGACTTCAGGGGAGCCCGGGGTGGGAAGAAAAAGCGAACGGGACATCTCTGCGCCCATTACTATCCCGGTACACTAAATCTTTGCCACTCGTAGACACGCGAGCATTTTTCACTGGCGCGCCGAGCTTGATCTCCGAGAGCGCGAGACACAGCTCTCGCTCGTCCGGCCGTCCGCTCGGATGGAGCCAACCTGTAGAGCCGCTCTTCGGCTCGTGTAGACGCGTGCAAAGTGTCCAGAAAATGTCACAGGACGAAAGTGGGCAGTGGCATCCGTGCGTGTCGCCTGGCAAAGATTTAGTGCTCCGCGAGGGTGCCGCCGCCGGTAGAGCGAGAAAGAAAGAAAAAAAAGAAAGAAAGAGAAGTGTACAGGTGTGTGTGTGTATGTGTGTGTGTGTGTGACAGAGAAAGAGAAGGTATATGTGTCCTACCTCGCGTGTAACATTTTTGTCGAAACCCCATTTTTAAGCGGGACAAGTCGCTCGGTCTATAAGTCGCGTAATATACGGCCACCCCCTCTTTCGCGTTCCGCTCTTCGCGTCGCATCGCCGACCCGTTTCCGTCTCTGACCTAGCCGGCGCTCCTCCGTCGTTGCAGGCAAACCGTTTCCAGTGCGCAATTGCACCCTGGCGAACCAGACGTACACCAGCGTAGAGGTCAAATGCGTGCCGGGATACGACGGCGGACTACCGCAGAAATTCGTACTGGAGGTTTATCATGGCGACATCGACTTCCTCGCCAGCAGCCAGCCCCTCTACAACGTCTCCAACCCGGACGAGCCGAGCTTCGCCCTCGCCGGGCTCGAGGCATCGGTCGAGGCTGGCGTCCACGTGGCGGTCTACGCGGTCAACGCTAAGGGTCGCAGCCAGTCCGTCGTTCTCAGCGAGGTCACTTATCGCGACGCCGAGAAGCATACCGGTGAGTCCTCGGTCTTGATTCGCTAGACTATCATTACCTCTCGCTCTCTATCTTATTCGCGAAAATGAAGGGGAAAGAACAAGAGAGAGAGAGAGAGAGAGAGAGAGAGAGAGAAAAGAGTTTTTGACTTATCAAACTTTTACGTCGGCGGATAACGCGAAACGTGACATTCGCCGTGCTCTATCGGTTGTTATTGGCGGATTGGCGCCTCGAGTGCTGCCGTAATTATCATGCCGGAAGGCATGAAAGTTGCACCGACGTTGCGCTTGCACCCACGCGAGTGCAATTCCCAAACTCGCGCAAGAATACTTCTAACGAAGTCACCGCTATTTTGCGCCCTGCCGGTGGGGACGCGCACGCGCGCGTGCAGCCAGATCGGATTAACCCGACAGAATGAAGGACGACGTATCGTCTATCACTTAGTTCGGCGCGGGCCTGAATAAGAAGCGCCGCGGAGGAGAGGAGTCAACCGAGCCTGCTCGACCCCGCTCAATTTAACAGAAGCAGGGCTCCGCGATTGCCGCGGGAGATTAGCGGCAGGTGCCGGTCGAGAGTACACGGATCGACGCAAGGTCACCCGGCCGATGGCTCATGTGGGTCTTTCGGGGTTGGGGCTCGGAGGGTGGGAGGGGATGAATCCGATAGAGCGGCTGTTCTCTCGAGGTGGGTGGTGTCAGCGACGCGAGGCGGTAAGCAAGACGGATCACCACCCTCGAGACAACGTTACGAGACGAACGCACCACACCCCATTAGGCGTCCGTATACATCGCGCCGCTTATCGTGCGGAAACCACCGGAAACACGGCAGAATTAACTTCGAAAAGTATCTCGCCACCGGCGTCGAACCGCGGAACAGTCCGCATACCGAAAGTACCGCGGGGCGTTATGTAGAGCGCAAAAATTAGCTTCCGCGCGAGTTCCAGCGCGCGAGAGTACCGCGTGAAAATTTCTGCACCTCCGTGTCGGATCTCTTACGTGGGTTTATGTGATACTTGGACGTTTATTTGGAGGAATTCGACGTCGTCGAAGGCTCCGCCGAACGGTGTAATGTGCGTCGCCGCCGGTTTCCCGTTCAGAGTTTCGTCCGCGGGTTACGCCGACATCTTCCTCAAGACAGAGTCGAGCTCAAATTAGTGTCGGACAATGTCTTCGCTAAAGAGGGAGAGGAGTACTTTGTATGAGAAGTGGTACTAAGGATAAACAAAAATACAGATATGGCTTTCCGACTAAGTCTAAGATCGCGCATGACGGTTCTCGATCTCTCGGTTTTTGCAAAAACGTCGCCGAAGCGAAAGGTGCATTCTCGTCACAAGCGTGTGAACGCAGAAACGGGCCGGCTCGGGCGTTTCTCGGAGAGAGAGCGAAACGCAATGGGAGAACGTGGCGAAACGTTACGACCGCGTCACGTTGCGTATCATTAAACACGGGCAAATGAAGCGCCACCCACACACACACGCGCGCGCGCGCGCGTGCGATGTGGATAGTGTTACGTGCACGTGCATCCTCGTAAACATTATCGCGGGACGCCGCGCGCAGTCTGCGTACGAGGTAAAACGAGTAGCATCGAATCAATTGTCAGTAAAGTGATTTACGGTAGTCGCAGTCGCGTCGATCAATTTGCCGCTCGATGCGAGCCGTCGCGCCGCCTCCGCCTCCGCGCGCGCACGACCTCCGTATATACGCGCCTGTTTCAGCGTGACTTTCGACCCCTGACCGGATCGGCCAGCGCGTCGCTCGAAAACAAATTGAGAAATCCGTAGCCAAATGCCAGATGCTAGTGGAAGACTTTCGCCGCGCGATTTATTCCCGCGATCGATCTCCCGAGGTAGAAAGAGACGGGGGAGACCAGAGAGCGTCGCTCGGAATTCCGTTCTTCTCTGTGCGCGCTCGCGATAAAAGCTGTGAGAGCGAGCTGTAATTACCGAGTTTTCAGGACGACGCTGATTCGTCTTGTTAGCGCGTAGAAAAATCACCGAGACCGCTGGACGCAAAAGCACCGGGGAGATAACGCAGATACGGTGACGTCGATAAGTGGAAGAACTCTCGATAATTTCAATTTTCGTATGTCGTTTCGAGAAAAAGAAGTGGCAGAAATATCGTGCGACTGTGCGACGGGCGTATCGAGCGGATTGCTCGCGGGGGCCGGAGGAAATTGACGAACTTAAAACTCGGAGACTCTCCGGGACTCTCCGCACTACGCCACGGCGCACTTAACCCTTTTCCAAGTTATTACGCGAATTTTTTCTGCCACCACATAGGCAACGAGCATCGAATTAAGGAAAGCAATTACAGATAATGGCCCCGGCGGCACCCAGAGCGCCGCCACTGTGGAGGAGACGGGGTGGAAAAGAGAGTAAAGCGCCGCTGCAAAGGACAGGGAGGAAAAGGAAAGCCTATCTAAGAGAGATACGAATGTACAGGGTGGTCATTAAGCAGCTGCAGCTTTCCTCTCTCTCTCTCTCTCTCTCTCTCTCTCTCTCTCTCTCTCTCTCTCTCTCTCTCTCTCTCTCTGTCTCTCTCTCCTCGCTGTTGTAATATCTCCCTCGCGCTCTCGTTCTCGCTCACGTGACCTCGTTCGTCCCTGACTTCCTTTTTTCTCTCTTTCCCACTCCTCTGGCCCCTCTCTTTCCCTTATTCGCCTCCTCTCGCCCCTTCCTTTTTGGCCGTTGCGCGTGCGGTAATTTTCCCGGAATCATTTTTGCCGCTTTTCTTGCCCGATCGTTAACTTCACTTACCTCTCTGTTTACCCCCGTCGTCATTTTTCTCAGCCTCCTTCCTTCCCGCCACTTCTCTTGCTCTTTCTCTTGTTCCTCTTTCCTCCATCGGCTCGTTCGGTTTCATATTCCCTTCTAGTTTCGTGCTCTTCCTTGTTCCTGCGAGCCACCCCGTCGGACGTCGACGGGGTTCTGTCTTTATACGTGCGTGTATGCGTGTGTGTGTGTGTGTGTGTGTGTGTGTGTGTGTACGAGCTCGCTACACGCTTTCCCTTCCATTTCCGTTTTTATCGCGTAACCTCGCCCGGTTATTTCGCGTCCCCGACAAGGCGGACTCCTTTTTTCACGGACCAGCGGGGAAGAATAATTAGCGCCGCTGTCCATCTCGCCCTACGTTTCCACTTTTCACGAAGACATTTTCTCCTGTCTGCTCGTCCGCCGGCGAGAGTGGTCCTTTTGTCGTCGCGAGGCGTCCGACGATCATCGGTTGTTCCGTGAAAAAGACTGTGCCTCAGGATTTGGCGGTCCCAGATCCTCCAGACTTCTGTACGAGAAAGACAGAAAGAAAAAAGAAGAGGAAAGTTAGACATGAGTTGGACGTGAAGTGATTAAAAATTCGCGACCGACGCGTAGACACGGTAAGGACATCAATGGGACATGAGACGCGTCCTAGAGTCGCGAGCATCAGATCCGATTGCGCTCCGCTCGCTCCTTACGCGAGCAGGATTGATCTCGCGTGGCGATGGCTCAGATAATTCGGTCGAAACGATCCCGCGGGGTGTTCAAATTAAAGCGACATCAAGCAAGACGGGGGTGGAGATAATGTCGCATCAGATAAAGCGCGTTCCATCGACGTCGGTGGCACGCGGTGCTTCCCACAATAATTGAGATTAGAGCTCGCCGACTCTAAAATCTTCCGAGTCGCCGGCGATCCGAGCCGATAAGCGTTTATTATAGACGAGACACTCAAGATGCGCAGCCCGGGCTTCGCCGCAGGATTCCGTCCTTTCAACTTGGGCTATATGAGCGAGTAAGCGAACTAGCCAGCCAGCGGCGGCGGCGGCGGCGGCCAATCCACTCCGCATCGCGGGATTGCGGTGGTAATTGCTGTCCGATTTCGCCCCGACACGCACCATCAAGCGTATCCGTACGCGTAAACACGTATACAAGCACATATGTGTGTGTGTGTGTGTGTGTGTTTGTGTGTGCAGATATGTGCGCGGCATATTGCGCGCAGATGCGAAAGGAAGGATCGATCGATGATGGTTGATCCTTTCCGAGGCGTTCCGCTTGATTGCAATTGAGCGAATTCACCGAGAGGACGAAGAAGTTATTCGTTGATCTCTCAATTTCTCGATTCATTAAACGTCATACGTTAATAAACGTAATATTGCCTAATTAGTCGTCAGTAACGAAGAAGTTACCGCAATAATATTGCGAAATTTTCGCGAGAGACGAAAAAGACACGTGAATCATGCTACGCTTTTAATTCCATCCACCGATAAGAACGTATTTTCTCACGTTTCTCAGTAAGCTTCCGCAGTAACCTCGGCTATAATCCTGGAAACGTTATCGTTGATCCTTTGCGCTCCGAGGATGCTGCAGCAATGCTATCCAGAATTCCAGAGTAAAACTCGAGGAGCTCCGCGGCGGAATCTTTCCGATTTTAAGGCAGTCTTCAAACTCTAGCGTAGTGAGTAGTTTGGATTTAGATTGGAAAGGTCTTCGAGATTTATACGAAATTTTCGGTGGCGCCGCTACGGTGGCCCTGGGACTCGCCTGGGACTACGCGTATGTGCGCTTTGCGGTCACGCGGAGCTGCATGTCTCCCTGGAATTTTCGCGAGCATCTTGCATTCTAGGAATGACGACGACATTCCCGACGGGACATTGGTTAACTACGTCAAAGAGAAGGCACGACCTAAATCGAAGTCGCCTCTCGACCATCCTCCATTAGCTTTGACGAATGTGTACATCTATGATGATAGATGATCCGGAACAAAGGATACTCAAGTAGCACTGTTGATCTAGCGAACGAGCTCCTCAAACGACCGACGCTGAATCGACTCCTGATTCGCTTCTGCACCCTCGCACCTTCGATCTTCACGTTCGCAACAGTCTGCAACAAACTTGTTCCGCTCGGAACACCCGCGAAATATTCGCGGTAACATCGTCACCCAGCTGACTCTACGAGGATGTTCTATTAATTGTCCCGTCCTGTGTATGTGCTTTTGCGTCAATGTCAAGGTAAAACAGACCTCCCCTCTTCGCACACAAACCTGTCCGCG